AAACGTGAGAAGAATTGCCAAACACACTGTAAGATGTCAACTTAGGTCTTTTGTTTTTTCTTTTTTTTTCATAAATAATGCCACAGAGACCAGGCCTGTAGTCACAAATTTTGCAATAAGCTATACACTAGTGTAGACTATCTCAACCAATTGAGATTGAGCTATACCCACTTGGAACTGGTCTCATCACTATGAAGTATGATCTCAATGATGGCAAGGAAATCAAATTTAATAGGTGTTACCGTTGAATATTAGAAGTATAGAACAAAAACATGGCTCCACACGGTTTAAAGGGCCTCAAATAAAACAAGGGACCCACTAACGTGGAGATGGAAGAAAAGATAACAGCTTAAGACAACAATTGCCACCAGATCTCGGCTGGATACCAGTTTTTGTAAAGTTTTGGTGGAGCCCATAAGAGGGTCTGTTTGAGTTCTCGTGACACTTTAAATAAAACCAGTTTACAACATGCCAAGGACATGAATTATTCTTGAAATAAGAAATTAAATCAATTTTAATTTACTCTTTCATCTATATTACTACGTACTACTGTTCGAGTGTTGATATCATATCATATAAAGGATCACACATTTACTGGAAATATATCCATGTGGCACCAACAAAAATCTGAAGTAAGCATTTGATTATGGAATTCACATAATATCATCGAGAGCGAAAAAGTTGTATGATCGAAATTGGTCTCAGAACTCAGAAGTCAAAGCGTTTAGACAAAAAGGAAAATCTGTTGGAAGGTGACATCCTAGAAGGGATTTCTGAGTTGTTTAAACTTTCTTTAGTAATATGATCTTCAAATAGTAGATCGTATCCAGTATCCTGTTCGAGTATAGATAGAACAAAACACTAAAACAGAATAAGTTTTCAACCAACCCACCTACTCCTACGAAGTACACTGTGTAGCCCACAGTTCCAGTGGGCAGTTTGGAAACAACCCCACTTATACATCTCAGAGAGGAACTATCGACGATCAAGTGCTCCATTGCCATCCATATGAGCATCCTGTGGTTATTGGTTAATCCACCCAAGTTGAACTACTCGAACCATCTTCAAGCAGTACATCACACCAATGGTTAGGGGTGGTCACGAGTCAAGTTTCTCATGAGCTATTTGAGCTCGGTTCGGCTCAGTTTTAACTGAGTTTCGAGCCAAGCTCAAATAGCTACATACATAAATATATACATATAATAATAATAATATATATAATAAAAATAATATAGATATAATATTTTTATTTTTATATATAATAATAACTAATTATTATAATTCTTAATTTTTAAATATCAAATAAAAAATATTTTTATATATATTTTTTTATTTTTATAAAACATTTTTTTCATGTCAAGCTTGAGCTTACGAGCTTTTGACTCGAGTCAAGCTCAAGCTCAAGGTTCTAGCTCAAACTGAGCTCGAGCCTCATACTACCTTGGCGAGTCGAGCTCGAATACTATTTGGCTCGGCTCGAGTCCACCCCTACCACAGGTGTATTCTTCTGGTATCAAAGCTTTACAGTTCTGACTTCAGGTTCTGCTAAAATCTATATTTCTTGTTTCAGTGTTGCATGTGTTGAATATGGCGGGTTCAAGTGCTACCCAGTTTGATATCCCGAAATTCAACAGGTCCAACTACGCAATCTAGAAGCTAAAGATGCATGCTATGTTGGTGAAAGATAAAGATTGTGCAATTGCCTTGAAAGGAAAGGGTGAAAAGCCTGTTGACATGAAGGACAAAGAGTTTGAGAAGAAGAACCAAAAGCAATGGTGGATATTCTTATTGCTTTAGAAGATTTGGTCATGGTTCAAAGTATTGATACATCTCTATGTATCGGCAGAGGTGTATTGGTACTTAGATACGCACGAAAATAGTTTTTTTTTCAAAATTTGGTTTTTGGGGAGTTAAAAAAGAGTATTTTTATTAAAAAAGAGGGGTCCCGAAAGGCTAAAACACCTGTAAACAAGCGTATCGGGACCCAAAAGATACAATACGATATGCCCGATACAAGGCATATTGTATCAATTTTTTGAAACTTGGATATGGTCTTATTTAATGTGTCCAATGAATCCACTACGAAGGGTTTACAAGTTGTAGAATCTCTATGAAGGAAAATCGATGTCCAATAGAATTTTCCTCCGATGACAACTCTACAACCTAAGAATGAAGGATGAGGCCTCTTTGCAAGAACACTTGAATGAATTTAACACTTTGGTAAACAAATTAGCAATTGTTGTGGTACATATTGACGATGAAGAAATGGTTGCTCTTTTGCTTTGTTCCATGCCTGATTCTTGGGATAGTCCGATAATCAATTTAAGCAGTACAAAAGATTTGTCTTTAGAATCTACTGTTTCTATGTTGCTTACGGAAGAATCTCGTAAAAAAACTGGTGAGAGTTCTTCTGGTGATGCAATGATGATACGAGGTAGATCCCGTGAGAGAAACAACTTTAACAGATCTGGTCCGGTTTAGGGTTCAAGATTGATAATTGAAAATGTAGTTTTCTAAAACAGGGAATGTGATTCACACATGGGAGAGAGAAATTTTTGAAATTTCGCCATACCTACTTGCAGGATTCGGTTATCCATATGATGGATCTCTCATCCCTTCATCAAGTGTTGGAATTGTGACAAGAATGGTCACCTTCGGAAAGATTGTAGACAACCCAAAGAAAATCAAAGTCAACCCAACTTTGATTGAGAACAAGAGAATTCCCAAGGAAATATCACAAAAGGATATGATTCATCAAAAGATGGTGAGGTGTTGTCAGTTAATTCATGTGAAAGCTTAAAACATAACTAGATATTGGATTTTGGTGAACATGGCATTGTGAGATAGTACACGGTTCCTTGAACTCCACAACAAAACAGAGTTGTTGAACGGATGAATCGTACACTTATGGATTGAACAAGAAGCATGTTGAGTGTAGCCAGGCTGGAGTAGACCTTTTGGGCAGAAACAGTCTATTCGGCATGTTACTTAGTAAATCGTTCTCCCACTACAACACTTGATTGCAAAATTCCAAAAGAGGTATGTTCGGGAAACTAAGGGTGAGCATTCGATTTATTCGATTAAAAATTGAACCAAATAAACCAAAATTTTTAAAACCAAAATTAAAAAATGAAAATCGAACCAAAAATCGAATTATAATAAAACCAAAATAACCGAACCGAAATTTTCGGTTCGGTTTTTGGTTAAAACCAAATTTAATTAATATATTCATAATGTTATATATTATAACCTATAATATATATTATGAAATTTAATTTCATTATAATACATTATATATAATATATTAATATATAAATATATAACATATTATATATTATATATTATATATTGTATACTATATATTATATATTATATAATAAATGTTAGTTAATTCAGTTTTTTCAGTTAACTGGATTTCTAAATCTAAAAACCAAAACCGAAAATCGAATTACCCAAAAACCGAATTAACCGAGCTGAACTACCCAAAAACTGATCCGAAAAACCGAAACTGAAATTTTTGGTTCAGTAATTCAGTTTTAACCGAATAATGCTCACCCCTACAGGAAACCCCATTGATTATTCTTTCCTTTGTACCTTTGGTTGTAATGCTTATGTATGGATTCCTAAGGAGCAAAAGACCAAGCTAGACACAAGGTCCAAAAAGTGTATTTTTCTTGGCTATAAAGAAGGAACAAAGGGATATAGATTGTGGGATCCTACTGCCCGCAAGATAATTATTAGCCGAGATGTTGTCTTCAATGAAGATTCAATGCAAAAAGAAAGTACGCAGTCAAGACTAGAGATAACAAAGAATGTTGAAGTAGAATCTTTTCAAAAGATTAAAGAGCAATAAGATGATGATGTTGTTGTTGAAACCGTTGAAGAGTATGATGAAACTCTTGAGAGTGAGACTCATGAAAATCAAGGTCGACCAAGAAGAGCTACAAGACCTCCTAGCTTCAGGATTATGTAACAACTTATGCTTGCATTACAGAAGAGCATAAACATTGTTCATATCAAGAAGCTTGTGAAAGTCCAGATGCTCGAGGTCACTTGACAAAATGATGACAATTGGCAGCTGGTCTCAGAAGTATTTGTCACACTATTAAGAGAAATGTTTTCAAGTGGGAGAATGTTAAGGTGGTGTTAGTCCTCACTAACTGGCCTACCGAATACAAGTTTTTACCATGGGATGGCCTACTGTATAAGAAAATCAAGTGGTGAAAACATTTCTCACCGCTTGGTTTCACAAAACTAGGGAATAGTTACTATGGATTAAAAATGGGGATTTAATCCGAAGTCTCCATTTAGGCGACAAATCTAAGGGTGCAAAACTTTTCTAAAATGCTCATTCTATCCTTCATGATTACTATAAATAACGATGGTCCATAAGCCTTATAATTTATCCCATTCATTTTTGTTTATTCTCTTGTATGAGAGTGGGTGTTTGGGTATGGGGTACGGGATTTCAAGAAGGATGTAAGAGTGTGTATTGAATAATTATAGTGAGGTTCTATTGTAATTTCTCTTAGAAATTCTATAGTAATGAAGAAGCTCCGAAATGCTGCCCGTCGACATAGATAGTTTGACCGAATCACGTTAAATCCAGTGATCTCTCTCTCCTCTTTTTCTCTCTTTAGCTTTTGCTATTTCTATTTCTACCCTTTTGTACCAATGACCATCGTCTTACGGTGGTAGCTAGCAAGTTGGTACATTAATTAATTACCTGTATCACCAGCACCAATATGGGTACAAGCTACAACTATGAAGGAACTTCAGGGGTTTGCTAAAGCCAGGAACATGACAAATTGCCAATTCCCACCACACAAACCTCCAAAAGATTGCGTACGATTGCTTGCTTTGCCAGCTTAATTAATTCATGATGACACATTGGTGCATGGATTTATTTCTACGTTTCATTTTTTGTAATTTTTTATATATATCCGTTGAAACAACTCACAACCCCCNCCCCCCCCCCCCTTTGCACCCTATAAATATCCATCACGGATCAGCATATTCTCACACCATCCCAGAGGAACCTTCTCCCTTATTAACAACATTTCCTCCTACAAAAATAATTTTTAGAGTTCCAGAGATGGTTTCCAAGCAGTCTGCATCACTTGCTCTCTTTCTTTCTCTCAACCTTGTATTCTTTGCCCTAACATCAGCTTGTGGTACTTGCCCCTCGCCAAAGCCAAAGCCAAAGCCAAATCCAACTCCATCTCCCACCCCTGCTGCCAAGGGAACCTGTCCTAGGGATGCTTTGAAGCTAGGTGTATGCGCCAATGTGCTTAATTTGGTTAACGTTGTGGTTGGCACTCCTCCATACCTCCCATGCTGCAGCCTCATCCAAGGTCTTGCCAACCTTGAGGCCGCTGTCTGCCTCTGCACAGCCATCAAAGCCAATATCTTGGGCATCAATCTCAATATCCCACTTTCACTCAGCTTGGTTCTCAACAACTGTGGGAAGAAGTTCCCCACTGGCTTCCAATGTGCTTAAACATGCAACTTCAATTCCTTCTAGCATTCTCTGTTCGTGGAGTTCACCAAGTTAGTTATTAATTATAAGCGTTGGGTATATATTGTCGTCCATTCTTCTAAGTGGAACAGCTCGTTTCCTTTAATTTCTTGTAGTTTGCGCATGTCTAATGGGTTCTGTCATCACCGTGAATAAACATGGAGTGTCAATTTGTGTATGATTTTCACTTCCGTGACAACATATGAACATCTATTTATTTGATATTGTTCTAAAGCTATAGAATGCTCTCTCTCTCTCTCTCTCTCTCTCTCTCTCTCTCTCTCTCTTTCTCTCTTTTTCTTTTTCTCATTCTGAATACAAGAAATAAATCATCGATCATTTATTTACAAATGAGTTCTTCTCTTGAGCCTTATATATATAATTCTATGGGATTTTCTTTTTTCTTAATGTGGAAGGATTTGCACTTCTTGATGTAGGATACAGTTCTATCTATGCTTGCAAGATGTGGGTATTATTGTCTGTTGTCAAATATTTAGTCAAATACATCCACATCAGGATAACTCTACATATCGCCTTCTGAAATTCAATTTACCAATTCCCTTGGGTAAACAGTGCGTAGATGGTTTGGCTCTGTTCTCTACATGTTGTATTAATTAATTTGGTAACATTGAACTGCCTCTGAACTCTGAAACTTTTGCTTTTTAGAGGTTTGGTGGTCATTTGGTTAAACATCGGAATACACTTCTGAATAGTGCAGTTGGACAACATAGTCCGTCCTCTGACCATTTCGTCATTGACCATAGAAATACAACACTTACTCATCAGAGAAGATAATTAGGTTTTCTGACTGGTTGGGGATAGAATCCCACCTTCACTAGGGTTGGGGATCTTTGAAATGGTTCGTTTTGCACAGCAACTCAGTTTTAATAGTCTCTGGTAATTGAAAATGGTTCCATATTTCCTGTGAATTTGCTTAATCATCCGTGCAAGGAACCATGCATGGTAAATCTTTGGTGGATTAATCAAGCAATTGAGATGCTTGGGTCAGATATGAATATTATTTTATAGCATACTATATGGGAATGAGGATCTTCAAAGATAGAATCAGCTTCAAATACCATTAGTTAGAGTTGGTTAAGGAGATGAATTATATATTGGGGGTTTAATTTCTGTGTATTATATGTACATGTTATTTCATTCCCGTTGTATAGCTTTTCTGGAGGGGCTAGCTCTTTCTCCACCAAGAGTAAAGGCTCTAGCTATCATCCAGAATACCAAACATCTACACTATATTCGGAGCTCAAAAAAAAATTCATATATAGTTTGGAGTTCATTATTTTTTATATTTACAGATCAAAATTCAAATTACCAGCTGAGCTGAGCGCCACCTACGATGATCTGCTATTTCCTTCTTCTAAAAAACCGGTTTCGTTAGTGGAAGTACAAAATGGAAATAGTGATGTGGACGAATGACTACAATGACTATATATAGTCACATCAATAATGGAATTTCGATCGGCATGGAATTATGATCAGTATCCCGTGGAATTGTGTTGCTTAACGAAAGAGTTGAGTTAATGTGGCTAATCAAGAACATTCTTCAGATGAGGGTCTGAGGAATTTAGAGGAATATTATTGTAAAATCCAAAAACTAACGTTGACTATTGAGTCACGACTTACAAACAATCTCTAGATCTGCCAATTAATGCATGTTACGCCATTCGGCCGGGTATCAGACACACCATATTCTTATTGGGGACCCAGAATTGATTTCCACTAATTGGTAACAAACAGATCCAGATGCAGGAAATTAGAAAACGATGGAACCTGAACTGATTCACTGATAGAAACACAACATGCAGTCTCCATAAACATGACGAATTGGCAACAGAATGGGCATTAATTCCGACTGTCTCCATCCCCTCGATCTATCATTTATTTTTGTGTTTCTGTTTGATAATACCAACCACTAAGGATTCAAGCCATTTTCCAGTTCTTTCTCATTTAAACGTACGTAATTGTGGTTGCTTCCGGAGTTTTTTTCTGTGAATTGTTTTGAGAGTATTGCTTTGGTTTGGTTTGAAGCATTGCAAGTTGCAACCATGGAATTGTAAAAGGACTCAGGCAGAAAGCTTGTGCTTTGAGCTCAGCCAATGATGATCAGTAGTACGTAGTTGATTCTACTCCGATACTGATTATCAACCCTGCAATTATATACTCATCTGTGCCTTTTTTTTTTCATGAGGATTTTTACACTAATTAGACGTCTTATCAATGTTTATTCAATGTCTAGCTAGATGTTGGTCCAATAGCTTACTGATCCCGTGACCCTCCATAAAAGTTGTGTTTTCATCGGATTATCACAATAAAAGTTGACTGTTTTGAAACTAGTCTCAGAAACTAATCGGTTCATATTATAGTGGCCGGCCGGCAACCTAATGAGGTTGATCAGCATATATGATCTATTATTACCAGTGTGAATGTAACTTTTGAAGAACAGTACAGATGGATGGGTGCAAGAATCCGTATCAGAATGATTGTAAAGAGAAGCCCGCCATATTTGTTGAGAATCTTTTTTATCCAAAAACTCTGCAAGGAATGGCAACACTACCGACCACAGTGACGTGTTTATGAACAAACCAAGAAAAAAAAATTCATCTCTAGATCAATAAGATAATAATAATAAATATTGTTGTCTATGGGCCATTTCCCTTTGGCAGGACTGATAATCAGCCAATTCTACTTTTGACCCACCATCTCACTCTCGTGAACCAACTTTGGCGCATTCCAATTTCCAAGTTAATATATATAAATGGTTTACAGATATTAATAAGACGTTGATGTTTATTTCAAAGAACAAGACACAGTAGCAAGCATGTGATGGGTGCTTTCCTGGAATAAATCATGGTCTGTATCATGGGGCGGTCATCGTTATTAGCTGTTACTGATGTCATCCCGTGTGTTACGGTCATAAAGATTAAACAGTCTGATTCGTTGCACTCCATTAGTCACAGGGTTTTTGGTTTATTGGTTGATCATTTGGTATCAGAGCCCACCCCCAACATCCCAATGTTTGAATAGATATCGCGATAAGGGTTGAATAAGAGATTAATGAAAGCTGTCACGAAAGGAGGACTGTCTAGAGCTGAGTGATGGAGTGGTCGGTCCTCACAAAAATGATTACCCCTGGACTGGAGTAGTGTGAGAGTCCTCCGTCTCCTACTAACAAAATAAATAAATAAAAACAGCAGAATGAGAGCTGTTAAATGAAAAGGTCTGCCTACAATCAAAATGAGAGCCATCATGGAAAAGAACTGCTCGCTGTTTGGAATGAGAACTATTGATCAGGAAAAGGCTACTACTTGTCGCCAAAGCAAGAGAGCTGTCAAGACTCAAGAGGTCGGCTAAGACAGCACCGGCATGTGACGATCCTCGAGGTTTATGGTTTAAACATTTTGATTTCCTTTTTTTCCAACAGTCTTAGGTTTTTTTTTACCCCATTGATAGGGTGCCTAACACCATGGTTAGTTTCTTGTTCGTTTGATAAGAAACTAGAATAAAGATACCAACTATCTTACCCACCCAATAAAGAAATAAGGCTCAAGGAGTATAAATACATATATGTAGAGTCTAAATCTTATATTTTGTATTATTTTATAGTACACATTTGTATTTGTATACATTCCAAACTGAGCCTAAAAGTTTAAGCCTCATTGGGAAGTTATTCATTTGGATAAATGCATTATCCCAAAAAGTGTTATTTGAATAACAATTCATCTAGTAAATACGTTTACCTTTCTGCTTTGTGGAGAAATGCTAATTAGGTGAATGAGATAATTTCCCCAAAAGAATCTTGACTTTTGTATGCCTATAGAGGCATTTTAGCTCCATGATAATTAGATTATTTTTTCTCTTTTTATGGATAAGTGATCTGTCCACCTAGGAGAAGGGTAAAATTCACCTAAAAAAGTGAGTTAAAAACTATATACATGTCTGAGAGAATAGCATCCAATCATACATTAGGAATATCTTCCCATGAATTTAACATATATTAAGTATGTCCCGATACACAATTAACCTGTGCTCCTGGATTAGACCCCCAATTACAATTTATGACCTTAAAGCATGCCTTTTCTGTCCTTTATCCGGTGACCAGTTTTGGCAGTCAATATTTTATATAAACAAGTAGCAATGGGATAAAGTAATTAAGCAAAGTAAAGAAACCAAACTGTTTTAGTATTCCAACCCAAAAAATAAAATAAACAGTTTTAGGACCATGCAATATAATAATATAAAATAGGAGACATGCATTCTAGTAAACGTATTTATGCAACTTTTGAATTCTTCTCCCTTACATAAATTGTGGGGTGAAGAAAGGCACACTACAATAAAATTTGGACATGTCTTTTACATACATTACACCTTGGCATTAGGCTGAAAATTTTGAAGTACGTAGCGGCGTTAAGTTGTCATTTACTAAAATTTTCAAGGGGACTGATTTGGACATTTGATAAACCAGCATACCCCTCTCGTGGAAAAGATGAAGAGTTTTATAAAATAAAAAAAAATGGGATGTCACAAAAATATTAAAACAAATGTAAACTATGCCAGTGAATAATGCTTACTTCCCCGTAAAAGGATACAATCTATGTGCTCTAGGGGTATAAATGGCATGAATTTGAATTGGATCAGGCAATATTTGAATTCGAATCTAATTAAAAAATTTGATATTCGGATTTGATTTAATATCTGACGGATATTGAAAATTAACATTCGAATTCGAATCCGATTAAATATTCGAATGTTCGATTCAATTGGATACGAATTCAACTAATTAATTATTTTAGGAAATTAATAAATATATAAAATAAATATTTTATTTATATAAAGTATATAAGTATATAAATTATTTATATAATTTAACTATTATATATATATATATAAATTATATAAAACATTTAAAAATTTTATATATTATATATAAGAATTAAATATCGATCGAATTCAGATATTTATTGAATCGAATCAGGCCATATCTGAATTCGAATCCAATTAGCTATTCGGTATGAATAGGATATCCGAATTCAACCGATTAGATATTCGAATTATCCGAATTTGATTCAATTATGTCAAACTTCGAATTCAAAATCAGATTTTCGAATACCATTGACACCCCTAATATGCTCTATCATCAATAGTTAGGTGAAAATTAATTAATGTGGGAATAGAATTAAGAGCACTTGGTTAGCAGTTTTTTGTTGCTCT